TGGGGATACTATGGTACCCAAGATACAGTAAGATTATATCCTCCTTTTGGTTATAGTACTTTTATATAAGGAGCATAACTTTACTGGGTTTAACCACCAAAAAACACTATTCATGTGGGAGTGTTCAACTCGCAGGCCTCTTCTGCGCTCCAAGAAATCAAGATCCAATTGCGGTGTGTGCGTGTGTACAGGGGACCTTTTGAGAGACTGTATTGAGGTCAGCGAGGACTCAGAGAAATAATGCAGGAGTTTCTGAAATCCCTCGGATATCACTGTAAGTGCGTAAGCCTTGCTAAAGTACGCTGCTCTTTGTGCTCTCTTTCAACCTCAGAAGCCCCAAACCCTAAGCGCCAAACCCCTAAATCCTTGACTCTAAGTCGTGTGCGTCTCAGCAAGGGCTCTTAGAGGTGAACTCTGGGCAAGATGGTACCAGAGCTGGTCCCTAGACCCTAAACCTTAATCTATAGGGGCCTCCAAAACAATTTTTAATTTTTTGGTTACCATAATCCCAATAACAGCCAAAAATTATGATTTTTAGTGGGGTTCTGAGGCCAGCTTAGTAATGCCCACCTGTGAAGGTCGAGAGTGACGTTTACATCACCTCTGACGAGCTGCTGGTATCTCCGATGCAGAAGCCATGTGAGCTGTAGTCCAAACTCCTTAATGGGGATGTATAGGGGACTATATCGTGGAGTATTATAGGGCCTAGTAAGGGGGATACTAGGAGTTTCGACTATAGCTCATGTAGATGCTACTCAAAACTGCGGCAGGTTTCTGTACCCTGTACCCTGTGCCCGTAATTTACAAGCTCTTGACCCTATGGCCTGTTTTTCCTGGACCCTAATGCGGGATGTCCTAAACGCGTGCTTGTAGGTTTGAAGGTGTAAGGGTACAGGCTCTAAGCTTGTGGGATTTGCATGGATTTGTGCACGCTCTGTAGTTTTGAGTAGCATGGAGACTTGAGGGCCCTCCACTTGGCCACAGCCCTACAGGTATTGCTCAACATAGTCCCAATAAAATCGGAGGGGAGTCGGCCTCAAACCCTAAATCCGAGACCCTGAACCCTAAACCCCAAATCCCATCATCTAAAGAAGGAGGGTAGGAACACTATCGTGTAGGGCTTGCAGGGGCTATCACGCTTATGCTAGTATGGCGCCTGAGAGCGATTGCGGATTGCTTGGGGCTCCAAAATCGCGATGAAGGTTAGGGGTTTAGGGTTTCGCTCGACTTGGCAGAGCCAGTCTCAAGGAGGAGCAAAGTTCCTAAGCATTCCTAAGCAACAAAACTGCTTCCATGAGCCTTAGGATTTCCTTAGGAGGCTGATTTGCTGAGTTACAGAAAGACAGAAAATACACCCTAAAGTAGTATAGCACGGCTCCCGACAGTTGGGCGCCTATCCGGCTGTAGAGTCTTAAATTCGCTTCATTATTTCGGGTAAGTAAAGCTGAATAGGGCCCGCTAGATGATCCCATCCACCTACCAACAAAACCCGCTACGCCAGTAGTTGACATTCCCGTAAACCGTTAACCAATTACTTCGTAGGAAGCTGGGACTAAGGTCAGATTCAAAAGCACGCTGTCCATAAGGGCAACCGCTCCTAAGAGCAAGGAACCATGCAGACCCATTCCTATACCACAGTACCACCGCAAAGTCGTAAAAGACACCGACAGATATTCCCCATCCCTGCCAGGGTCACTGGGGTATACAAGGTAGTTTCCCAAAATCAGAGTCCCCCTTATATACCCCAATAGACTTTAATTCCTATAATGGGGACCCTAAAAATGGCACCCCTTATTTGGGAAAACCGCCATAAACGTATTTCAAAAACATACGCGCCATCAATGTAGGACCAGACCCCAGGAAGAGCTTGATAGATATTTGAGGTTTAGGGTTTGAAGCTCGGTAGGAAACAAAACCTGACAGCTCTTGTTCTTGAAGCCTGGAGCACTGCTCTCTATACCCTGAACTTTCACTATTCTAAACCCTAAACCCTGAATCTATACCCGAAACGTTCATTATTCCTAACTGATTCCGGTCTCACATGGCGTGGTGGGGGCGCGAGGGGTTTAGGGTTTTTTTGGCCTAGCAAAGATTTAGGAAGGCAAGCAAACGCACGTTTGGGAGCAATCCTGTAAATTATGCCATTTACCCTTTGAATCCCGAGCCTCGTGAAACTCTTGGACTGGCAATGGAAATTCAAAATCTACCAACACTCAACCCGAAACCATAAACCTTAAAGCCACCCAATCCCCAAAACTACAATCCCTCTGCCACAACTGTTGAAAATTGCAAGCCCCTTTTGGAAGCATGACTGAATCTCTTCTGCCTCTTAGGGTTTAGGGATTAGGGGTTAGTGTTTAAGATTTTTGGTTTAGGGTTGAGGTTCCTCACAAACCCTAAACCCTCACCCCTAAACCCCTATCGGAGCAGACTCCCAAACTGATGATTTTAACACAAAGCCCTCCAGGTCCCCTTTCAACCCCCATATGCCCTCCAGGAATTCTTTGACTTCTCAAGGGCTGTCCTATCTTGAAAGGCTAGTTTCCATACATAGAGGGACCCCAACATGCACCCCCCAACATACTGTAATCCTTATAGGGACCTCCAGAAAAGTGCGCCCACCAACGGGAGTCTTTGATTTGAGGCCATCATGTGGAAGAATGGCTACTCAGATGCCGAGCGCAACGCAGTCCAGCCCCGCGGCAAGATGCTAGTCTTCGCAAGGGCATAAGCTAGGTACTTGGGTTTGGGGTTTAGGCATTTAGGGTACTTGTAGGGGGCAAACCAAGTCAAAGCCAGGTAATATCCAACACTTACACATTTAGCTTCTGACTTGTACAGATAGCACCAGCATTTCATAATTCACTTGGGCGTCGTAAAAGTAGGCGCAGTTTTTGTAGAGGCCCGAAGAATTACCAACATCACTCACTTCGAATCCCTGAGCCCTCAACCCTAACCCTAGCATAATGTACCCCATATGGGCCCAAGGAATATATGAGCTGCTGTCAAGAAGCCTTAGCAAGGCACCCTTACCAGTGGACATAGGGGTTTCTCTTGTGGTTTAAGGTTTAGGGTTTATAGTATGGTCCCCAGTGTATTCCCTAATAAGGAACCCATGTGTACTAAATTGTGTAGGAAATATTGACTGAAGCTCACCCTAAACCCTAAGCCCTAAACACTGAACCCTCCCTAAACCCTAAACCAAAAAGGGTAGGTGTGTGGGGGTTTGACATCATTTCTCTGGACCCCGACTACTCAGGTTCTTAGGAGTCCTCGTCCTGTTACTTCCCCCAAAGATCATGCCGGGTTTGACTGACCGGTTCTCGATAGAGAAAATGATTATATATATATATTATATATATATGGATAGATGTATAGATATATATATATATGCACACAGTATAGGGATGTGTAGGGAGTTTACTCCCTTATCCCCCACGAAGAACCAGTAAGTTGATTTGCAAACCTGCACATCTGCTGCTGAGGTTTACTTTCCCCAGCGATTACAAGTTTCACTACCCGGAGCTGTCTGTCATGTTCGATATCCCCGAGGAGGACACGCCCGCTGGCGAGATTCAGTGTGAAGGCTTTTTGGATCTTAAGGGTTTGGTGGCTTAGGGTAGCGTTTTGAAAAACCGAACAGCATACCACACAAGCTTGACGGTCTAGATTGTAGCGACTGGACGTTTCAAAGGTGCTGATAGGGATTGCAGCGTTTCCCGGCTAGTTCAAAATCGCGCCTGAGCCTTTAAGCTACTAAGTGTGTGCCTGCTGGCAACAAGGCCGAAGAGTTTGTACAGGGGCTGCTTTAAAGTATTGCTAGTATTCTTGTAAGCAGTTAGACGCCTTGGCCAGCGAGTGCTTAACAAGGGACAGAAGGCAAAAAGGGTTCCCCGCGCTGGGTTAGGCTCCCGCATGTAGGGACCCTGACCTAATTCCCATTGTCCCTTGTGGTCATTATTAGTGGGTGGGGCCTAACCTCACTTCAGCGTCTGGGGTTTGGGATTTAGGCGGTATTCTGAGCATGTATTAGGAGGACCCCCCACCCTGTAATAGTGGTATAATAGGACTATAAGAGGACCCTAATAGAATCCCTATCATCCCTAATAGTCACTATTACAGTGTGGGGGGTCCACCTAAAGCATCTATTCTATCATAGCCAGTTGCCAAGGCTTGCCGAGGGTTTCCCCAACAAACAGTAGGGGACCCCTCAGCGTTGTTTTGCATATTCCCCCCAATGTTCCCCCTTTAATGCAGTTGTTTAAGGAACCCCTGAACACTAAGCCCAAAACGTTGACAATTGGGGGACGCTTACTTAGAAAGGGGATTGCTATCCTCTAAACCCTGATGAACTCTAAACCGTAAACTCTAAAGCTTAAACTCTAAACCTAAACCCCGAACTCCTTAGCGCCTGCATTCTGCTGCCAAGGTATAAGTTCTGCATGCGCACCCGTATGGAGGACAGTACCTGGACTGCAAGTTCGACAATGACAGTAGTAATGACGTTTAAGGTTCAGGGCTTAGTCGTAACGCGTACTACTAACAAAAGATACAGTAGTCGCAGTGGCACTACGAATAATAGTGACGACAACAAGGAATATTGCAGTTTGAAATTGGCGTTGTTTTGTCCGAAGAAGGAGGAGACCTCAATGTGAGGCATGGACATGAACATGTCATTGGAGGCGTTTTACTTTCGGCTCACGAACCACCTCAGATGAAAGAGATTCCAGCTGGGGGTCTCAGGTCAGGGCACTTTGAGGCGGAGTTGTGCAGCTTTGCTACCGAACACGGCGGGAATCTAGGTATTCCCAGCATACAATTCCCACATTCCGGGAAATAGGATAAGGACGTAGTTAGGACGCAGAGACTCCCTTGCGAAAAGGTTTCGCTGGCCATCCTCTTAATTCCTTGACTGTTGCTGTGTTTCTATGAGGTCCGTACCATGGTCCTCTAACATGAGCTATAGTCTGAGTCTAAACTCTTCCAAGGGGGTTATATAGGGGATTATATAGGGGAGTATAGTATGGTTTATTGAGGGGGACGCTAGGAGTGTGGACTATGGCTCGCATGGGCCCCTACCTGCTGCAAGGTCCTAACTGTAATGATGTGCGCTTGATTGGGTTTGGAACTTCTACTTGGAAGCAGCTCGGTCTGTCCTGAGGCTACCGGACCGGAAATGTCCAAGTGAAAGCCAAGTAATACGTTAACGTTTCTATAAGTACAATTATTATGGACAATTAGAAGCACTAGTCTAGACAACACTAGTCTTCTGTCTGTGTGTTTTCTTTGCTGAGGGCACAACCCGCTCTGATCAATGCCCGCTTGTCCTGAGGCCACATCGGCGAGCTAGATTTCTCCAAGGCCAGCTATTAAACCTAACTCCTACTCGAACTGTAAACAGGTCCGGGATCCAAAGTTTTGAGGTATAAGGAGGTTCAGTTAAAATCAATATACTACGGGTCCCGATATTGAAGTTCTCATTCTAATACGAGTCCCTACATTATTTCCCCCATTTGGGGAACAGCAGTTTAAAGGGCAAGTCGCGTATGGGGGATGCTCCCAACTTTTGGAATCCATAAGCCCTAAACCCTTAAAGCAACTTTAAACCCTAAACCCTAAACCTTAAACCCCAAACCCTTAAAACAACCTTAAACCCTAAACCCTAAGCCTTAAACCCTAAACCCAGGTTCCCAAAGGCTCCAAGACACGAGCCTTCCATGCCGGGAGCAGATGTAGCCGTTCAGCTGCCCTTTCAAATCAACCCGTCCCCCAAAACGAGCTTCGCCCCCACCGTGTGCCCAGACCCCCTAAAGTATGGAACTCCCCCAACATGAGCCCAAATACTACATTGGGGAAGCTAGGGGATTGTTAGGCGGTTCCACTTTTGCCTCCTACAGTGTGTTAGGGTATTACTGTTGATGGAGGAAATTTTACAGCACTTTAAGTCCCCAAAGTCCAGGAATTACAGTAGTGTTGTAGGTGGTGCAAGACCCCTCAATCAATAGTATGTCTCAATGAGGCTATCCTAGAAGTGACCCTCTATTTTTGGCACCGAATTTGATATTTAAGCTGGGGGAGGCTTGAGAGTCCAGCATCCCTGATGTAGAAGCTGCGATACTTACCAATGCAGCTTGCTATAGACTAGTATAAGCCAAACTATTCTAAGCATTTGGGCCCCTACAGTAGACTTCGGTCCTTGCGGTCCCATTCCCAGTGTCATGGTTCAGATTCTTGCATCGGGTGAAGCATGCCGACAAGACAAATGAGGAGGCTGAACCCTGAACCTTAAACCCTAAAGCAAACCTTCGTTCAAGGCTCGAAGTATGGGCCCTTTCCAGGACCTTTGAATTTGGTGGTCCCAGCTGATTCTGTTGCAACACCCTCTTAGTTTGGTTGAATTAAGGGACGACGCTGCTCCTATGCTTAACCCTAAACCCTAAACCCTGGACCCTAAGCCCTAAACCCTAAACCCTAAACCCTGAACCCTAAACCCTAAACCCTAAACCCTAATTGATGCTGACAATCCTGCCTGACCCTAAGTCGCTGAAGCGTCCTGACCCCCCAAGCAGGTGAAGAGGGAAGGCTTGATCCGAGATCACTGGCTGTGCCGACCTTGCAGGGGTTCATCCTAAGAGTAATCTTGGTGGGATTTGGAGGTCTCCCAGAATTAGGGGTACCTTATTGGGGTTCCCCATAATAAGGATTATAGTATATTGGGGTCTATATTGGGGTCCCCTTATTTTGGGAAACTACCATTTTTCTTCAACTTTATCACTTGACAACTTTTGAGGTTCCTCCCTTCCATCTCCACGGGGCCTGAAAGTTCTCATAAGCGTAACAGTCGTATGGTACTAGTGCCAACAATACCAGTAGTGGCATTAATAGAGAGCATTGGGTTGAAGGTTGGGCTTTAGGGCGATTTGGGGTCAGGGCTTAGGGTTCAGGGTTTGCGGTGTAATTAAAGAGTCTTAAGGTCTGGGGGTTTGGGGTATAGAGTGCATTTCATACCGTTCTTGGGTCTTGTAGAGCTAGAAGTCATCTGTAGTAACGATTGGGCTGCTTAAGATATAGGAGAGTCAAGATGAGCCATGATTTTGGGGTCTGAGGTCCAGCACAAGATTTCTGAAAAGCAGCACCTTCCTAATCCTGGAGATGGACCCCGACAATCTGGGTTGCTGTTAAGGAACTTAAATTAAGTTACCTTAATGGGTATATATAGTACATAATAGGGCTTCCCCAATATAGTAACTTAATTTAAGTTCCTTAACAGCAACCCAGCAATTTCGTCGTAGTTGTAGATCCCATAGATCCCTACCATTGATACTAAGCATCCTGCATGACCCGAGCCTCAGTATACCATGGCACCTAAATTCCCAAGGGTCTGCGGACTTAGGGTCACGCAGGATGGTCAGTATACCGTAGCGGCTTTGTAGAAGTTTCGCCTGCTTTGGAGGGTTGCCCTGTTGAATAGAGGGGGTTCTCGGAATGTTGATTAGGGGCCTCTGTGGTATGTGCGCGTGTATAGCGGCTCTTGTACTGTTACGAAATCATTGACCCTTGCATGTCTTTGAAACCTGGAAGTTATGTTCGAAGTCGACTCTCAAGCCCAAGTGCCACCTAGATGATCCATCATAACTGGAGAAGTCCTCACTGAGGATCTTCGGCACTGGCATCTTCATCTTCAAGACGTTCCCCTTCTTCGGCTACTACTTCGGTTCGCAATCCCAGCTCACCCGGTTTCGGGTTTAGAATTTAGCGATTAGGGTTGAGGGTTTATGTGCTTTGTAGTTCGGACGGAGTTTGGGATACTATTGCTTCCTGAAGCGTCCAAACATCTCAGTTACTGCCAGCCACGGAAGTCTATCCTCTCGAGCCTAGACTTTGAAGCTTTCAGGCACAGAAATGGGAGTTTATCAAAAGTATTGTTATAGAATCCTTGATAGGACTACTGTTGTAGCATCCTTTCTAGGACTACTGTCATAGAATCCTTGATACGGACGCCTGTTATACAATCCTTGAGAGGGACTTCCACAATCTCCTTCTAACCCCAAGATATCCCTTGGTGTCCCTGGAGGCACCCTTCTTTGATAAGTTCCCAGCTGGGAAGGCCATTTCGCAAGTCATTCTTAGTTCTCAAGGAAGGCCCAGAAGTTTCGAAACACAAAACCCCGGGCCACAGAATTAAGTTCTAACATCTGAATGCCGTGTTTTAAAGGGTGGGCTGTAGGGAATCCGCACGCAGTTGAAAGGAGGAAGCATATGGTAGTTTCCATAAATATGGGGGGCCCTAATATAGATCCCCCAACACTACTTTCCTTATTATCGGGACCCCCACAATGGTACCCCTAATTTTGGGAAACTCCCATACGTACAGCTGGGTGCCGAGAGTTTCAGCTTGTTGTGGCTGGCCCTGAGACCAAGACTTACTAGTGGCGATCAAGGAATGAAGGAATGGGCTAGTCGGCATACGACAGTGCACGGGATAATGCATAGAGACTACTCTAGGGATCCATTCCTCTATTGCAGGGTTGTCCAGAAATAGTTTAAGAATCCTGCTCCCCATAGCTTCGCTTCCATATTGCAGTCCGGATAGTTGGGAAGAATCTTCCTGAGCATGAACATGACAACTGCAAGTATTGATTCGCGAAACGTTTCTGAAGTCTAGTACCCCACACGGTGCCTTCCCAGACCGCTCTCCTTCCAGAAGGGGTCTCTATGAGCTTCCATGTTAGTGTGGAGAGGGTAACCAGTACAACAGTAAAGCTTGCATTCTGTAGGGCTGGAAGAGGTGAGCGAGGCCCTTGACCAAGGAACATCCTAAATCATATTCGGGTGCAGGTACTATTTCGGGTAGTACTTGTTTAACGAACATCTGAAGGAGTACCCTACGCCCTAAACTCTGCTGGCAGTTTGCACTGACCAGGTGTCAAGGTCTTCGGAACTTCCATGCAGCTTGGCGAACTTCACGACGTGCAGGGTCCAGGAATTTTGTGCATCTTCCTGATTTCAGAAGGTGTGATCAACGTGGTCTAGCACGGCAAGAACTAGACTCTACCTAACTTACCTTTGGCTAGCTAGGAATGAAGGAGTGGATCCTTACAAGAATCCCTATATAACCCCATTATAGTAGATTCCATGTTCTTTTCCATTTCTTCATTCCCAGCTAACCAAAGGCCATTTAATAGACGAGAACCCAGCAAGTTGAAGGAGACGTCCACGTTTGACTTCTAATCTGGACGCTCAGATTTGGTGTAGGGTTTACGGTTTAGGGGATATTTCCAGACAAACGGTCCCACTTAGATGCCCCCAAATAAAGGGATGGATCCTTATTGTAGGCACTCTCAAAAAATGGATAAACGTGGCAAGGAGCTGTGTCGCAATGAGCAAACTGTAGAGCAGTTGAGGTGTCTTTAGTCTGTAATCCATTTCGGGGTTCTTCAAAAGGTTCCCGATGTAATTGGTAAGGGACCCTTACAGTCCCTACAAATCCCGTAGGGTTTCTGAGGGTCTCTTAGGGGCACCTTATTTTGAGAAACTGCCATTGTGATAGCAGGTCCATCCGTCAGCATGGATGCATTTCCAGCCTGCCCCAGTTTACGGTCTAGGGGTTCTAGGGCATAATGGAAAAGACAATGGAAGCTACTATGCTGGGGTTATATCGGGGTTATTTTGGGATATATAGTAGAAGTAGTGATCCCCCCCAGTTGTAGGATCTGTTTACCTCCATGTACAGGGTGACTGCAACCCAATCATAACTGGTACCTCTAAGCCAGCTATAACCTATAGCCTATAACCTATCACTGGACTTGGGGCTTAGAAGTAGGGTTTAGGGTTCAGGGTTAAGTGCACATGTCATTGCATTTTGATTGCCCTGAATCTCCAAGTAGGAGTTGGCAGCGTCAGAGGCAGAGTAACCCGCACTCATAGTTGGAAAGCTCATAGGTAGCTACGAGTGTCGTCTTGAGTTGGAGACCAAAGTTTGGAAGCTGCTCAATCATGCATGTGTACTACCCAGCGGCTTTGATGTCATGTGGCAAGCTACATCCAGATTGCAAGATTAGCTAGGTATAGGCGGTATAGGGATTAGGTTTTTGGGCCGTAAGCCCTGACTTTAAAGGGTCACAGTAGACTTACGGTACAGCTCTACACGGCGTATAGGCCTAAGCAGATTAACATGACACAGACCATTCTCTGTCGTCTAGCTAGCAGAAGTCTTCCAGGAGCAGTTACCGCCCCTGCCTCGAAACCATCGCCCCCGTAAAAATCAGATGATCGGGACAAAATTACTCCCTTCAATGGCCTGCTCCTTTCTTGTAGGTGGTGCTGGACCATGTGGCATATCCTGAACCGGTTCATTGCCAAGCTTCTCAGCGGCAAGAGTGACTTCAGGGGTGTGGCATTGCACATGCGCAATGCCCGAGGTTTATGTGGTCCCTGCGGGCTTGAGGCTTTAGGGTTTGATTTGAGAGTCCTTGTTGGCAAGATCCTCATTCGCTTCGGTAGCAGGCGAGGCATGTTTATACATACATATATATATATATACATATATATGTGTGTGAAGCTCCTAAACCCGGAGCCCTGAACCCTCAACCCTGTTTAGTGTTTTCAACAACCCCGCTTGGATTTGGGCTATCAGAAGGTTGGGAGTTGACGATTTGGGTTAGCGTTTGTGGAAGCTCATCGAACTACGAGATTAAGAGGGGGGAGCTTTGCAAAATCAAGCTGCCTTGTTGTATGTTTCTGTTTTGAGGCCCATCTTCTATCATCCCCTAAACCCTAAACCCTAAACCTGTCAGGGAGGCATCCTACGGATTACATGGAGGATTGGTCAACATTTTGGCTCGCTTATTCGGGTTACATTGGGTTTAGGGTTTAGGGTTTAGGGCTTAGGGTTTAGGGTTTAAGGGTATAATATACAGTTTTATAGGGAATATAGGGCATAATTATGGGGTTACATCGGGAATATAGGGTATAAGGGGGACCTAAACAGGAACAAGTACTTTGACAACCTACCGCACGTAGATCGGAAGTTGAGATTAGGTCTTTCCCGCTCATCAGTTTTCTTGGGGGTCCAGCCCCAAGACCTAGAACTCCAAGCTGGGTTGTCATTGCATCACGTGTTTCTTTTCAGGTATAAACTTTCTAATGGTTCTCCCCACACGATCCATAGCTAACGTA